CTAGCCTACTCCACTCAGTTTGCACAGGATTAGACCCTCCAAGATGCTGAATTTCTGGAGGATGTCATTCCACCTTCTTCCTAACAGTTGCAAATCCATTGGCTTGAAGTTAACCTTGTATCAGGAAGCTTTTCTCATGACAGAGTTGTAATTTAAATGATGTAATAAATTTATGAAGTATCCCAAGGAGGAGCTTGCTCCTTCGGCATAGCTAGGGTTGTCTTCTTAGGTCCATCAAAGCAACTTGATTTTAGGGAGAAAAAGGGACCTCGAAGGGCAAACAATTAAATGGAAATAAGAGCAAATAGGCTGCTTCCAGTGCAGATTCGTACTATTTTTGTAAGCTTAAGTCTGCTAACACCCACAGCAATGATGCTATTTTTGTAACTGCCACTTTGCACCCAGGAAAATTTGATGGATTTGTGTAATCTAATATGTGCACTTTAGATCTTCAGATGTGTGTCATTGTGCATAAATTACTGTACCACATAAGCAGTGTAGGGTTGTACAGCTTTAACTGAAAATGAAATTTGGTTCAGTACGTTTACTATTTAAAAAAAAAAAAAAAAAATCTGTCACTAGCATTGAAGTTTTGCACTTTTTTAGCATCTGACAATGTCAGGGCGCTTCATGCACATTTATGTTTGCATAGGTTTTAACTGAATTTGTAAATCCACTCCTTAATCTTTACAGAAGTAAAAATAGTCCTTAAGTAGTATGACATAGGGTTTCATAGTTGCAAAATCACAAGATTTAAGTTTGTCTTCAAGGTTTTGTGCTGACCCAGGCATGTAACTTATTTCAGCAAACCATAATCAAAATTTGGTAGCGTGTTCATAGGAATTTCTAGTAGTTCCAGTATTTTTTAATGAAACAAAGATGGATTTTTGTTCCCCTTCCCCTTTCTTTCCTCATACATTATGTGTCAAAGCAAATTAAACTATATTAAGGAAGAATTTAAACTCTTGTAAAACTTACTTGTGTGTTCAAAGTAGCAAAGGTGGAATTGTAGAGAAGGTGATTACTTACCACAAACTCATCTGATGCAGTTCCCTTGAGATAGTGTTTTACTTAGGATATTGGCTATATTTATGAAAAAATAATGATATCGATTGCATTTTTACTTTCCTGCGATGACTTTTATACCAGATGTCTCCAGTTTACAAGCCAAAAATTATATGCGAGAATCAAGCTGTGTTGTTTCTGCCTCTGATACGCTTCTGACTAGAGAAAGGTTTTCAAAGTGGCTCTGGTGGGCAGCTAGGTTGGTTGGAGGAGGTCAAAGTATTTCATCTTCCACACATGATTTTGCTCTGCAGTGGAACCCAGTCTGTTTCCTACCTGTGTCATCGCCAGGGTATATAGATCTCCATAACAGTCCACAGCCACATAGTATGTCAGTTTATGAAAGCATTAACTCAACCCAGAAGGTGTTTCTCTGGCTGCTCTGGGCTGTGAGCAAAGCCTGTGCCTTGTACATCTCTCAGCTTACTAGTCCCCACCAGGCCTTTTGGGATCCCAGTTTTCTCTACCTTCCATAAAACCCTGAAGGTATCTGCAGTAAAATAACATTGCTGCATTTGACGGCGGGGAAAGGTAAGAACCAGGCCTGAACTTCCTGTTTTTACCAGGCCATTGTATTGCCAATATTGACATAGATGGGTCTATGGCCCGAGAGAGGAATGGTGAGGATCAATCAGCTTTTGGCTTGCTTAAGGTACAGGGTGAGCTGGGACTAAGACAGGACGTCCAACTCACTTTCTTTTCCTTCAGCAGTGGGGAAACAATGCAAGCACGAATTAAGGGAGGAAGACTTTTGATCTAGTCATTTTTGTGACATTCGTACCACTAATTCCTTGGAGTAGCAAGTGTCCTAAGGTACGATGTGTAGGTGTGCTGCATCCCCAGCCAGTTGTGTGCTGTCTGACATGGAACTTGTCCCTTCTAGATGGGAAGGCTTCCAGGAGGTGAGGGCTGGCACAGCTTCTTGTCACACAGTCATGTTCTTGACTTGTCATTTGTTTATCGTTCCAGCAGTTTTGTTAGATGTTGTTTCCCTTTGCTTCTGGGTTTTAAAGTGATTATTGTGAGTTAAATATTTGATGCAATAATGATTTATATTGCTATCTGCAGTAAATCCATAGTGTGCATATAGCTGTTAAGTATTCAGCAGCGTTACTGTGTCTTTAATACTGTAGTTCCTTTTTTCTGTAATCAGGCAGCTTTTACAGGTTTTTAATAAGACCTCTAGCTTGACAGCGGTTTTAACTACAGTCCTAGGTAGAATGTTCAGGTAGAAAAACAAGTCCATTTAGTAATTTTCACAGCCCTTAAAATGCACTAGTAGGAATCTGAGGAGAGACCTTTCCCTTTTCCCTCAGACTTCGACTTAGTGTACACTGTAAAATCTGCACAGAGATTTCTGATGTGTGAGAATTTAATTTTAAAACTGTAGAACCAACAACCTTCTTTAAACATTTTATATTGTGTGCTAGATACTCATATGCCTTTTAAAGTCAGATATAGTCCACTGCATTTCTTGCTTTTGCACTACTGAAAAGGTTTTTTACTGAATACTAGAAGGCAATGCTACTTACACTTCAAGAGTGAACTGATGAAATTTGAATAGAAAGTATTTTCACAGTGTTAGAAAACTTCATTCTCCCTTCTGAAAAAAAACAATGCTAAGCGCAATGCCTGTGCCAAAACTCTTGTGCTGTAAACTGAGTATTTATCATTTGTGTGGAACATGTGATGTTACACCTCTGTGTGGTAAAACCTTGCAGCGTCAATTATTCTCTTTATTGCACTTGACATATCATGTCTTGTTTTATTCACACTGTGGATTTGATTTTCCAGTGTAAAACCAAAGCAAGCAAACAAAAAGAAATCATGCAATGTATTCAATTTCCTCAATTGGTGTCATAAACTTTCTTTTGATGTGAACTTTTTCCTTTGCTTCTCTTTGTTCCAAACTTCTATTTTGCAATAAACATTTTGACAGTAAATTTTATGCATTTGTGTCCCTGTGTAAAATGCTGGTGTTTCAAGAGGTTCCTTATTGTCTGCTGGTTTAAGTCACTTTTGTATTACTGTGTGACATTTCTCCTTCATTCCTCCATCTTTTTGTTAAAAATAATGAAATAACAAAGAACACATTCTTCCACGGGTTGTATTTAAACATGGGGAAAGCTGAAAAAATCCTTTGTGCAACTAGGAATGCAATACTGGACTTCTGCGGTAAATTATTTAGTTGTGCAAATTACTGTACCAGGCTTCTCCCACAGCACCAGCTGGTTTGACTATAAGTACCTACAAAAGGCACAACCCACTGCCTTCCTAAGGATGTTTATGATTGCCACATGCCCTCTTTTGGGCTCAGGTGTTACCCCCAGCACTACTTTTGCCCCACAGCATCCTGCCCAGGCTGCAGGTAACTGTTAGCGTAGGGAACACCTGACTTAACAGCAGGTAGGTTGAGAATATTGGCTGGAAGTATGGTGTAGTAGAGAGAAAAAATCAGGAAGGTCTCTTTTTGTCTGGCAAGCGCGCCTTCCCATCTGCCACTTCACCCTGATGCCTTTGGCTCAGTCCCCTTTGGGGAAGCAGTGGTCAAAGGGATGAGTTTGAGGGTCCCTTAGGTCCTCCTTGCAGAGGTGGGTTCAGCTGGTCTCATGGATGGTTTGTGCCCAGCAAGGTTTGGCTGAGACATTGGTGGAGGAGGAGGAAGGTCTGAAGAGTCATCAAAGTGGGGTGGGCAGCAAAAAGTCATAGATACGGAGGCAGAATTCAACAGGTGTTGGGCAGTCACAAGACCATCAATGGGAGTTTCACGTGGATGCTGCAAAGGCTGGAAGTTGTGGGTGGATTTCACTAGACCCTGGCCTCATGCCTGGAGAGCCAGGGAAGTGCTGGGTCTGGCACACGTGGGCAACTCTGCCCTGGGGTTGGGTGCTGGAGGCAGGCAGGGGTGAGTGCCTGTGGGGCGGGGGATTATGCTTGGCCTGCGGGTGGGCACTGGAGAGCTGGTGGTTGGCAGGGCTCTCTGGAGGAGGTAACAAAGCCTTGGGGGCTGGTGGGTAACCGAGCTGTGTCTCTCATAAGTCAAGGTTATGTACGTCAAATAAGTTTGCGACTATATGATGGTATTGAGCCTTTGGAGGACACAGTCCAAATACACACGTACCAATTAATGTTAACCCTTTAGCTGGATAAAAATACCAAGCAGGTGCAGCTTGGGATGCCCACCATATGTTTGAATGAGTAAAATGGCAATCAGTATTACAGTGACATCTTCTCCTGTCAGTTTTCAAATCATGCCAGAATTTCACATTACACAGCCATCCTCCTGTGCGTCCTCTGTGGTTTCTTTGTGCTTCAAGAGCTGATGCCGTCTCACATAGGACAAAGTGTGCCATGCGTGGGCAGCAGCGCTGGAGGGGGCTGGGCTCCACCAGCCTCAGGGCAGCAGTTACAAGGTGTTGGCATAAACCAACAGAGACTTGTCCACACAGGAAGACTAGCCACAGTGGCCTGACCCCAAATCCTGCTTTCACTGCTGTCTAGTGACAGTTTTCCTTCCTTTTGCAGAAAATACCCATCATTCAGGAGACAGTCGTAATCACAGCATTATTTTCACTGCAGAAATCAGGTGGTACCAAAGCCATAGAAAACGCCAAAGCCTTCCCATAGTGTCAGAGCTGAGAGAGGCAGCTAGGGAATCCCTCACCATCGGACAGTTTGCTTTTGCTTCCTAAATTGTTTCTGTCAGAGATCTGCTGATAATTTTATCTACATAAAGCAATGGGATCATTTTAGCACTGCCACAGTACTGTTGGAGCCAGCCCGTGGTCAGCGTATCGGTATGAGAGTTGCAACCTAAAGTCCTGCTCTTTGCAGGGGAAAAGGAACCAAATAAAATGGGCCACCAGAGTAAAATTTGGTTGGAGGGGAGAAAAACGGTCAGACGATTTTCTTTTCAATTCGTATCTCTCATACAGTTGCTGCCCTCCTTTGATATTTGTGCATGGACCGAAGAAGATGTGGTGAGTATTTTGTGTTAACGTGGCCAGCGTTGTGCTGCTGGAGCTCTTAACAAATTACAGTGGTATGGAGGGAGGGAAAGCCGGATCGGAACGTCTAGGTGAGATTTTACTGCTGTTTGGTTGGTGAAACTTATGTCCCAGAAAAGCTTTAAAATGTCCACGAGTAAATTAAGGACTCGAGTGACCTTCATAAAACAGCTGCATCCTCCGATGTCCAGAAAACAATTTGTGCTGGGAGCCAGGATTTTTTTTCCTGAGCGATGATTTAAGGAATGTGGAAGTGCCCCAAGACCTGTCTAAGCAAGACCTGTCCTGGACAGGACAAAAGAGGTTCGAAGGTTTTATCTCACTGTGTGCCACCAGGATGGCAAGTAACTGAGAGAAAGTTAAGGGGTTTTTAGGGGGTGTGGAGTCTCTCTTTCATGTAAAATAATGACATTGAGTCTTTCTTACCCTTTTATTCAGTTAAAAGGCTAAATAAGAAACATCAATGATTTATCTCTCACATAGTGATGTGTCATAATGATTTTAATGTCCCATCTAGCACGCTTCTTGCGTGTTGTGCATGATGGGGGTTGTTTAGCTAACGTTTACCGAAAGACAGTCTGGAAAGCCAAAATACAAAAGCTGTAGTAGCCCCAGCTCCTTAACTTCAGCCCTTCTAGCATGTGACAGATCACTAAGTTTCTGCTCTGGTCATTTCCGTTGTTCTTCATAATGATAAACTGCGGAAGGTGGCTGCAAAATAGAACACAGTTTTAAAAAGCTAAACAAAAGTAATCACTTAACATTGGTGAATCTTGAGTCCTTTAACCCAAAGTTAAAAATATTTCAAAATTTTGTTGTGAAAAGGAATGATTACTTGTGAACTCCAAATAACTGTCATATAAAATTTTGATAATGTGAAATTCAAGACTGATTCCTCTTTTTTGCAGTTTTTCTGGATGCAACAACTTACTAGAAAAGGTAAAAGCTATTCATACGTACCATCATATTCACATTTACATATATATATATATACACATTTGCTCATCTTTTTCTCCCTCCAGTAAAGCACCCTATGGATTTCTGAATAACCTCTCTTATCTTAAGGAGATACTTCTGGTGAAATGAGTGTATATGCTACCTTGTTTAAGGAACATCATATCACTGGGAAACGATTGCTTCTTCTAGAAGAAGAGGATTTGAAGGACATGGGAATTGTTTCCAGAGGACACATCATCCATTTAAAGGTAGTTAACAGCATATGTTAAATGTTACAATAGGTTATAGTGTGAATATTAAGGAGTCTATGGGTTTTCAGTAATATTAACAACAACAAAAAGTTATAAAGCTAAATAGAGACCATATCTGCTATAAAAAAAAAACAAGAGTTACGAGTTAGTATGGATCTAGAACCCAAAGCAACCGGAGCATTTTACAAGGCACGAAAATGCGCTGTGATCTTTATACTCCTCTGCAGTTCTTGGTTTTCTTGTGGGCTGGACTATCAGTACTGCTTAAGATTCACCTAGGAGGGCCATTCCCCTGGCAGGCGGCTTTGGATATCTTCAGCGAGAGTTCTCCCTGAAGATTTCTCTTTAGCTGAGGGAGGAGCAGATATGAAAACAGTTGTTTGAACAGAAATCATAGAACGGCATAGGCTGGAAGGGACCTTAGAGATCATCTAATCCAACCTCCCTGTCATGGGCAGGGACGCCTCTCAACTAGATCAGGCTACTCAAGGCTCTGTCCAGAACACCTCCAGGGAAGGGGCATCCACAGCTTCTCTGGGCAATTTATTCCAAAGTCTCACCACACTTGTACTGAAGAATTTCTTCCTAAAATCTAATCTAAATCTGTTCTCCTTCAACTTAAACCCATTTCCCCTTGTCCTATCAGTGGACACCCTTTTAAAAATCCCCTCCCCAGCCTTCCTGAAGGAAGTCCCTCCCCAGGTTCCTGAAGGGAACCTCCTTCAGGTATTGGAAGGCAGCTATTAGGTCCCCCTGAAGTCTTTTCTTTTCAAGGCTGAACAATCCCAGCTCCCGCAACCTGTCCTCGTAGCAGAGGTGCTCCAGCCCCTGGATCATCTTTGTGGCCCTCCTCTGAACATGCTCTAACAGATCTATGTCTCTCTTATGGTGGGGACACCAGAACTGGACGCAGTATTCGAGGTGGGGTCTCACAAGAGCAGTGTAAAAGGAGAGAATCACCTCTCTTGACCTGCTGACCATGCTTCTGGAAATCTCTGAACTTCTCAACTTTCACATCTCATCTATATCTTAAAGCATACTTTGACTAACAAAACTTTGTTAGACAACTTTAAAGTTTGTTGATTGACGGCCAAGTTGCTTTCCTCTTAGAGCTTTGTTTCGCAGTGTTTCAAATATCTAATAAAGAGTTAAGAAAATCATGGTCTGGAAGATGTGATCACAACAGCAGTAATAGTGTTAATACTGTAGCCACAGGAGAGAGTTCAGTGTCCTTGCAGTCAGCTTTGGAAAAGGATTTCTCTAAAAGCAGCATCTATAATTCTGTTGGGTCTCAATGATTTTATTCCACAATTTACTAGTAAAAAAATACTTGTATCCTAATTGCTAGTCCTGCAAATTTAGCTTCATAAGTCACATAGATTTATTCCCCTTTTGCTCATCAGCCGTTTTTTTCCATGCCGCACAGCATTACTGATGTATTTAATTTACCTTTCCTACAGGGAAAATTATTGGAACTTTAATAAAGTCAATAATGCCCAAAATGAAAGATTTCAGCTTCCTGGGTTGATTGAGCATAAACAAAAACAACCAAAACAACCCCCTAAACACCTCTTTCTCTGATTAAGCAGATCTGATTCTGAATGCGAAATAGGGCCGATCTACCACGACAGTTTCCAGAACAGAGGTGTATTTTAAACTCTTCTCACATGTCCTAATGTAGTCACAATGGAAAAGCGTGCAGGGAGTTGTGCTGTTTTTCACACTGGTATTTGCAGTGTGAGATACTGATCGGATTTTGTTGATTTTCTTTTTTTTTCCCTAGACTGCTATTGAGAAGTTAACTCATGACTACCTAAACCTGTTTCATTTTCCACCATTAATTAAGGCAAGTCTCATTGTTTATATAAGAAGTGCTTCTTGTACTGGTGTGAATATTTCACTATTCCCATGTCTCAACTTTCCTATCGTTTGCGGGAGTGCAAAGCAGGAGTTCCTGCAGAGGGTTGTGACAAATGCAGAGGGTCAACAGCAGCGATGGGTCACATCAGAACAAGTAATAGGATAATAAAAGTTGTTTTCAAAGAGGCTTTAAGATTTTATCATGGAACCGGTGGTATTAAATTAAAAGACTACTGGTTGCGATTCTTCTGCTCTCATTAATCAGAAAGTACTCTTAAGAGCCATTCCTCTGAACTGGTGCCACCAACTGCTCCCCACCGGAGAACGGCAGACCCCTGGCCCAGAATGAACCCATCATTGCTCAGTTTGTTAATGTTACAGGAGAGAAGGGTGTTTTATAATGTCTGGTCACCCTTGTGTTAACCTATTGGCTTTCCGATATCAGTAACTAGAGCCATGCAAAAGGGAGAGAGTGTTTGGGAACCTCGAGGTTGCCAGAGCAGATACTTGCCTGACTTAATTCGGTGAGCTAATCAAGCAATTCTAGACCCCAAAGCCTGAAGTAGCTTTTATAGTCATAATTTATTGCACAGCTATAGCGTAAAATCCACTTAATGTAAATTTACATACAGCCCTGAAGGGGAAAATGAAAGTCAGGGCTTTGCCGCTGTGCCATGCTGGCTGTAATTCCAATGGCAGTGGCTGCCACGATGCTCACACCATGTCGCGTCAGAACGGCTCAGCCAGGAGCAGAAATCACACAGCATCTCCCAAGTGCCATCCGCTGCGCGCCGTGAACCTGCGCAGAAGCCCTCGCTCCTCTTGGAGTGGTGTGATCGGGGCAGAGTGATGGCTCCTTCCCGCTGCCTGCCAGACTGGCAGCATCTGAAAGGCGAATCCTTACTGCCACTGAAGGCCTTGTCCCTGTCTCCCAGGGGGTTGTGGTAGATGTGAAGTCTCACCGTGCCTTTTTTTGGCAGGATTCTGCAGGTGGAACCGAAGAAAACATAGAGAAAATAGTGAATCTTGAACTCGTTTTTGGTTATCACTTGAAGCCGGGAAATGGTCCAAAGGTAAGCTGGGAGCGCAGGATCGGTTAGTTTGGTTACCTCTTTAGTCACTACCCAGAGGGTCCCATATCTTCTGGACACAAAAAGATAATTCGCTGCGAGAATCGTGTTTTGGAAAGTGCTGACCAAACGTCAAGGTGGCACATGGGCTGCATCGGTGATGGCGAGAAAAGAGTGGTGCAGAAAGCTTTAACTGAAAGCTTCTGTTTCCCGTGAACAATTTTTCTAACCATAATTTTTGTAATTCAGGCTTTTGCTTTGTTCCTTTTATCCCAATCGGTGTGAAATAACAATCCATGTATGCAGAAAAACCCATTCAAAGGGAGGTCTTTGATTCCAAGGGACAGCTGAGCAGTGACGTGCGCCTGATGTTAGTGGACAGACTATTACTTTTGCCTCAGCAGAAAGGTGATGTCTTTTCGTGCAACCAAGAGGACTTTGGGAAATACGTGGCGTGTGTGGCTGCCAGCTGGGGAGGACGGGACTCGTCCTGGTAGCGATTGTGTTCCCTCACAGTTGTGGGGAAGGAGGGAGGGTAGGTGCAGCGCATTGCAGACGGCAAAACTACTGTGCAGCAACTGCTAAAAGGCAATTACCAGCATGCCACATCTTAATCAAACCGCAGCTCCAAGCCAAGCTGGTTCAAGGATCTCTCGTTACGCCCTGTGTAACAGGAGTGTTGACGACTCCAGATGTTCCAGCAAAGCATTTCCACCAGGTTGTCTTTTCTCAAGAGTGAGGTTTGTCCCATGCTTTTTGTTTTCTTTATCCAGCCTGCCATGGACTCTGAGTTCAAGGGTTTTAGAATTAATAATCTAAGTGGAAATGGTGTGCAAAGCATTTCTGAGTAAGAGTCAGGGGTTGTGACAGCAGGATTTGTTTCCTTTTGTATTTGACAAATCTGCATTGTGTGTCCACCCTAAACTTGTGGGTGGCTGACTTTCATCTTGTGTTATCTGGCTGCTTTGCTTTCAGGACATATTGTTTGCAGAAGTCTCTTGATTTCTGTACTTGGTGGTGCTTGCAGAGAAAGCATTTAGGTTTGTACTTAGTAGGAACTTGGACTCGTACTGAAATCGTTTCATCAATTTGAAAAAGCTTTTTGCTTTTTGTCTGGAGATTTCCTTTTTTTTGTTTGTTTCTTTTATCCTAAGCACTTTTTTTTTTTCCTATGAAAATCTTCTTTATCACTATGTGAATTACTTAGACTGTCTCGGTGTTCTTGAATGCATGTAGCTTATGATGCTGTACAGCTGCTTTTTTGTAGGTGTGCATCTTTCCCTCCCATGTCCAACTCTACAAGGAACTAAAAGTCCGTGAAATAACTTCTATCTCCCTTCCATTTCCAATATGGGTTGTGAGCCACAAGTGCAAAGAGGTGGGCAATCTCCCCCAGGAAAGAGCAAAAGATGGAGTGAATAAACCTTTGAGTGTTGGAAGGAAATTCAGGTCACACTAACACCTACTAAGTTTGAGGACAAGTAGATATTTTAGCCATGATGGCAAAATTTGCAAATGAGACAGTGTGGCAAATTCTATGGACGGAAGCTGAATTGTTTTATGAGAGGATGGGGCTAGTTTGATCCGCCTGGGTAGTGCTGGCATAACCTTTGCAGGTTTCTGACATGCCAAGTGAGAACAGTTCTGGGGTTTTTTTTGGTCCTTCCTTCCCTGCAACCTCCCAATTAGTCCTCTCTGCTCTGCGTGCTGTTGAAGCCGTTCCTTCTGCAGCCATGAGCACGTGCCAGGCATGCCTGCCCTGGCATCCGCCCCGCCACAGCACTCGTGTCCCTGATGCTGTTCCAGGGAATGTGTCATTTGTCACCTGAGTTGGTCTGAGCTGGAAACTTCTGTCTGAGGTCTCCTTAACAACTCATACCTGCCTTTAAAGATGTTGCGGCTAAGCCAGTTCTAAAAAGTGGACTGGAAGGAGTTGATCAGCTGAGCTTTCGGGCAGGATGCTGGAGCCTAGGTGAGCAAGGTAATTTGCATTAAACATGACACTGACAAAGACTGATGTGGTACGTGCAAGACAGAAAATTTGGCTACCTTGCTGCTTTGAAAATCCCTGGATACAATCTTCTAGCTCCCCTAGAGGCTGTTTTAAGCCAACTGCTGCTGCCATCCAGATTTGTGCCAAACTGAACTGGAGATACTGGGTAAACCAGGATCAAAGGTTTTAAACTTCTTTTACTGTCCCATTTTTGTAAAAGAGCAATGCCTGTTCTTGTAATACTGTGTCAGCAGAAGCATTTGGGATCGATCGTACTTTCCACTGTCTTTATAGCTAAAAAGCTGGCCTACATCAGTTTAAAAATAAATTTCTCAAAGGAACTTTACCCCAATCAGTCCCTATAACCAGCTGCCTAGCTAAGAAGCATTTCTTCTGGTTTAGCTGTGAGGAAAAAGAGATAGTAAGCTCAAATCTGGGTTACGAGTTGAGAACGTGTGTTCCCCTGGTGATGTGTGGACTTCTAGATCTGTGTACGTCACAGGAAGTTATTAGGCTCAGCTCAGAGCTGGAGCAGTGCCGCAGGAAGGGCTCTGTACAGGGGAACAGCTCATGCTGGGAGATTTTAACCCAGACTGGCTCTGCGCTGGTCTCCTGGGCTGAGTTCCCGTTAGTTATTGTAGTGCTGCTAGTTTTTCTGCTGTAGTTGCACCTGGAAGTAAGCCTGTCCATGTGCTCCGAGGTGGCTTCACCAAAGCACGGGACAGGACGAACACGTGGGACAAAAGCACGTTCCTGATCCCAACTAAAGCCCTAGTGTGGGTGCAGCCTCGGCGTGCAGAGTGACATACCGCAATGCCACAGGGTGTAAAAGTGCTGGACGAGCTGGTCTGGGACCCAGAAGCCATTTGACGGGTGTAGTTTAATTCAGATGTGTTTGGCTGATCAGAGCACAGCGCTGTCTCAGGGGTGAAGGTGGTTCCTTGGGGCACGGGTGTCCTCTCCCTGGCACTGCACCAAGCCCCGTCGGCACAGCCAGTGCACCTTCTCCGTAAGCCTGCAGAAACCTGAGGGCCGTAGGAATGGCAGTGCCTTCTAGCAAGGATCCTGATGGACAGACATACTTCAGGATGGCATTCGAATGTTCAGCCTTGTCTGTACCCTGAATGAAACATTGACTCCCCAATATGCAACTTTACCAGCCTCAGATTTATCTAATTTAAGCTACATCTTCTAGTAGGATTCTGTTGCTTTCCACCAGCTGACAGATGCAGTCGTTTCATTACAGTTTCCTTCCCTTTTTAGCTGCATCTTTGGAGGTGATGAAAGCTCAGTTGACCTTTGTGCTCTCCGAATGCATCAGGACTGAGCGCTGCAAAGCCAACTTGGGTTTTCGAGGTTTCTTTTCCAACTCTTGTCGTTCGAGTTATGTGGTTACTTCCATTCACTTCCTTTTAATGACCTTTCTGTACACAATTCCCACTGAGCTGAAAGGTGATAGATTTAGACATTTTATATGAATTTTTTCCACAAATTAAAAAAAAAAAGGGAGCGGGGGGGAACACACCAATTAACTCCAAGATACCAAAGAGGCTAAAAAAACAAACCCTGGCAATTGTGGCTTGAGCTGATTCGAAGAACTGCAGAGGGAATTTTCAATGGCTTTCTCATGCTAGGTGGCTCATTAAAATTTCCCAATCAGGGAAAGGTGTCTGAGCTGTGTTGGCTCCGCACTGATGAATCACCCAACCTCTTAAGAGGTTGGTTCACAGTCTTTTTGTCTCCTGTTGATGCGTTCTTTAGTTTTGGTTCTCAAAAGGGCAGATTTCACCATACCTTTGAATGCTTTCATTTTTTACCGAGCGTGGCACAATCTGACCTCTATCCAAACACAAAGCCTTGAAGTTGGCTCGCCATTTTGCCTTATTTTTCCCCACTTACCTCTCCCTCCGTTTGACAAGGAGCAGAGCCTCTTCAAAACCATCTGCTAGCTGTGTGAACTATTTTCTAGCCTTGAATATCCAAACTTGGATATATATATTTTAATGCTATTATTTAAATGCGTAGTGCAAAAGTGAATAAAAAATTAAGGCTACTTTAGAGAGACATTGCGACCAACTCTTCAAGTGGAGAAACCCCGGCTGGCAAAATGCAGGCAGTACCAGACAAAGCAGTACTGAAATAGTTGTCGGAACGGGACTGTAGTTTCACGAGTGTTTGAGACCGTTTCTGCTGCTTCTTCCTCTCCACCCTCCCACTACATCAACACTCATAAAACCTTTCTTTACTTTCTTAGAACTAATTCCTAGTTCAGACAGATGTGATACAACATCATCCGTTTAATCTGCCGTGTAAGGTACTCCTCACATTATGAACGTGGCAAGGGCCGAGGTCTAAAATTTAAAATTCCAGTTTTGTAGGTTTTCAGTTGTACATACTCCCCATGCTCTGTAGGTATTTTAGCCTACTTCAGTAAGTAAAGCTGGCAGAGGAATTGGTTTTATCTGACCCTTCCTTTGCAAGATACTTGCAAGTACCTTGACTTTCTAACATGGGGTTATTTAACCTTATCTCAAAACCTCATCTTCTAAAGCCCCTCTCTTTAATTACAGCTCAAAGCACAGTGCTTTCACTACTAAAGGCTAATAGTTAATGCAAAAATCAGAGTAGCTGTGTTTGTGTGCCATTTTCATAGATTTGCCCCTATTCCAATAAGTAGTCAGTAAAGGGGCAAATACTTTGTGAAGGAAAAAAAATGACCTAAACTGTAAAATTAAACCACAGCCACATTTAAATATAACCAGCACCATTAAGAACTGGTTAATGTAGTCCACCAGGGAGGCAGATCAGTGGTAGGGTTTTAGAAGTTTAGTGCAGGTGATCTGAGCTCCTTCTATTGTCTTTCAAAGAGGCTTTTCTGGACCACGTATGGTTTTTACATGAGGGGGAGCTGATATAACTCCATCATCTCTACTGGGATTGCTCCTGCTATAGTACTCATGTAACTGAGGTCAAACTCAAGCCAACACCTTTCAGAATCCTTGTGTAGGCA